AGATAAAGGGGTGTTTACCTTAATAATGGCGTTTAGGCTAGGCATGGTGGCTTATGCTGCAATCCTAGCATTTTGGGAGGCTGAGGTGGTAGGACTGCTTGAGGACAGGCGTTCAAGACCAGCCTCAGCAACACAGCAAGACCCCATCTCTACAAAAAATTAAAAAATTAGCTGGGTATGGTGCTGCATGCCTATAGTCTCAGCTACTCTGGAGGCTGAGGTGGGAGGATTGCTTGAGCCCAGGAGTATGAGGCTGCAGTGAGTATGAGGCTCCATAATACTACAGCCTAGGTAACCTGTCTCTGAAAAAAAAAATGGCCTTTGGGCATGGTGGTGCACACTGAAGACATTTTGTGACTTTTGTAATCCCAGCACTTTGGGAGGCCAAGGCAGGCTGACTGCTTGAGCTCAGGAGTTTGAGACCAGCCTGGGCAACACAGTGAAACCTTGTCTCTACAAAAAATACAAAAATTAGCTGGGTATGGTGGCATGTGCCTGTAGTCACAGCTACTTGGGAGGCTGAGGTGGGAGGATCACCTGAGCCCGGGGAGGTTGAGGCTGCAGTGAGCCCAGATTGCACCACTGCACTCTAGCCTGGGCAACAGAGTGAGATCCTGTCTCAGAAAAAAATGAAGACCTTTAACACACAAAGTTAATGCTACAATCACCGTTATTAGGCCTGATTATATGAGGGTGGTGATAGGTTTGAGATAATCCAGTTATTTTCTCTCATTTCTACCATTTCTTCTTATACAAGGTGTATACTATTTGCTTGGTTATAGGATCATTTGTTTGAACATATGGCTGAGCATTCCAATCAACAGAGCCAACTACTTTTAGCTAGCTGTCTTTCAACAGAGTTCAGGAAAGGACAGATTTCACCTCATTATATATTACCTGGAAAGACCTGGTGACTAATTTTTGATCTCTGAAAATGAAAATCTCAATGCATGATCAGATGATTCTCCCACAGTAATCTAGCACGGAAGGTACTTTTTGGTTAAGGTGATGGATACTCTAATGCACTGCTTTTCAAGCTATCCATGGAGAAACATTGGCCTTGTTTTCCTTTTCTTGCTTTCAACCCATTGTGGACTATTTTATAAAATACAATAACAAGGAGATGAAAACAAAAAAGAGTCATATAAACTACAAGGCCTAATTTATTATTACTATTATATTCAACAGCTATGAAGTTATTCTGTCAAATTGCTATAAATGATCCTAACTGCTTACTCTCAGTTCCTGTACTGTTTGGACCAGTGACAATCTGCATGCAGCCTGGCACCAGTCTGAGGACTGGACTTTGAACAACACCGCCTTAATACACCGAGTTAGGAGGCCAGCAGGTCTTACCTTCCGGTTGGACCCTGCTGGTGGAAGCAGGATCTGGTCAAAACATGGTGCAATGAAGAAGCTGGCTGAAATGGAGGAAAGTGACCTCTAGTTGCTCTCACTGCTCATTAGCACAAGACGCTCCTACTGGACCCAGGATAGTTTATAAATGCCATGGCAATGGCCCAGAAGTTACCTTATATAGTTCTGAAAATTCCCCACCCTTTTTCCAAAAAGTTCTGCATAACCTACCTCTTAATTAGCATATAATTTAAAGTACATGTAAATATAGTTGCTAACAGTCCATACACTACCCTCTGGGCACCCAGCCTATGGGTTAGCCGTGCAGCACTGGTTCAGTCAAAGTGGCTTTTTCTTATCCTTGGCTCACTCTTAAATTCTTGCCTGGGCAAAGCCAAGAAGGGCAGCCTGCATCAGTATCACCTCTGTCACAAAACTTCATGCTTGATGGTTCTGAAGGGAGAACAGATAGCTACCTGTATTAGAGAGTTTGATAGTCTCATATTTGAAGGAAGTAAGACAGGGTAATTTTTTGAAGGTGTTTCCAGTTTGCTGATTCCTGACCTGGGTCATTTGGGTTCATACCTGCTCATGGTTTCTGTGCTCATATTGGGCCACTGCATCTTGAGTTCCTTACTTGACCATGGTCCTCTCCTGAACTGCCAATTTTTGATGTTTAGGAATAACTTCCTCCTCTTAACATTTGGCTTCGATGGAATGGAGCAGGAAACACTTAACTCAGGTGAAGTCTTAAGAAAGACGCCCTAATAGGCTCTTTGTCCTGGGAGGAAGACTTTCATATTATACAATATCTGCTGGGATTTTAAATCTTAAAATACCATCTCCATTTATCCCTAGACTGTAGCTTTGGTCCATGACTCAGTTAAAAACTGACTAAATAACTTTTAAATACTTCAAATGTTTCATTATACATGTATCACTGTATAAATATTGAGGTAACTCATTTAATATTCTTTGTCACAATATCTTAACAAATATTTCTCCCTAGCTCAATATAAGAAGTTGGTTTGGGCCATCAGTCTTACTTCGTAAGAGCTTGAAGTTTAGTTTGTTATAGGTAGTAAGAGGTAAATAAATCTTGCAGAGAAAGCCATAGAAAATTTTTACCTGTTTTTCTTTTGCTCCATCTGTTCATTTTTATCTTGATAAATTTCATGGTTTTGGTTTCTACTTAGAACTTGTCATCTTTAAAAAACTCTATAAAGCAAGTTTGACTAACTTGCTTAATAAAAATGTATTTCACAATGGATAAAATATGATTAATGGACAGAAATAACTTCTATTATAAAAATATACTATTTTCTTTTTAAGAAGTCTAAGAATATTGTGCAATTTGCTTAAGCTTTTAAATAATTCCATGTCTAAAGGTCCTGGGTTATCTAACCAAAGTTACCCTGGATATGTTTTAGCTGTAGTCATGTTTTTTGATCCTCTGCTATGCACTAAAATCCACTGCGGTGCTAAACATTAGATGACTAAATCAGGGGCATGGTAGATATATAGAACTTTCAAAATTGTACAGATGCTAACATAAACCGTCATATACAAATAGTACTTTTGCTTTAATCAACCTCCTAACTGGAATATTTCCCAAAATACAGCCCCCTGCTTCTATTCCTCTCCCATCCACTCATATGGTTTTAGGATTCATTTCCCAAGTTCAGTTCCATAATTCAAATATTTCTCTTTGTCATTTCTTTCTTTACCTCAAATTCAACAGACCTAAAATAAAATCAATTTCATAATCTTAGGCTTGGAAGAGATCCCAGGGGACATCCAATCTTGACTTTAATGGCTACATAAATAGCTTCTATAAAGCTTCCAAGAGGGAGGGGTTCTCTAATCTCTCCTTTAATGTCTCCAGCTCTAGGAACTCCCCTCATTCAGGAAGCCATTTTGGGTACATAGCTTCCAACGCCAATTCTACGTCCAGGTTTTCCTACACAGGAAATTGTATCATCTTCTTTCCAGTTCCTAGGTCCTCTTAATTAAGTCAGCACCATCTGATCACTCTCCAAACATTCCACAGCTAATCAGGTACGAGATGGGTCAGGCCTAAGTTTTTAATCAGCCCCCTCTCACAACCCCATAATTCCTGGGACATAATTAGTTGCTGATTAATTACAATGATATTTTAAATCTATCAAGAGCAGATTTTAGCGAAAGAGGGTTTCTTACTTTGAATCTTATGCTTCACGTGATGTTTTTGACCCAATAGCCATGTGAAAATTATGTTAATCATAGGTTAGAAATAAAATTACAGTTCACTAGCAGATGAAGTGATAATTGTATAGTTTATACATCATTTAAAACTCCTGTGGAGAGAAAAGTGCTGACTGCAATGAAAAATGACATTTTGAGGATTTTTGGTAAAATCTATATAGTTCACAGGAGAAAGCTCATTCTTTTAAGTTCCTTGTATTTTTCTTGCCCTTTAATAATGTGCAGACCCAGCCTAGCTTTCCCTAAAAATCAAACAAACACAATCATCTACCTTTCCTGTTATACTAATGCTATAATGCTAGCACCTTAAAATTTCATGAAAAATGAAAAATGTAGACTTTTGGCAGCCCATTTAATTTATTTCCAAATTATTTCAGTAGCATGGATAAAAATAGGAGTACTGGATGTTACAATATCATATCTCTACATACATGAAAACAAAACAATGCCAAAAGATCAGTTATGTGCAGTTCATTAAGGCCAAGATTCTTTTCAGGTCTAAGATACAGCATTAGAAGAAAATGACTTAGAGATGAGTAAATCACCAGTTATTACACGAAGTTTCCAAAAGCTGTGTTGCTGCAGTGAAACCTGCTAAAAACAGGTTGACTCATGCTGTTGTTTAGAAGCTGGATGACAGAAACCCACTGGAGTAGGCTAATTTCCCTCACTTCTCACACCCCAGTTATAAACTCATTACATTCAGGGAATGTAGCATTAAGTTATTTGAGAACTGCTACTTCCCAGAGGATGTAATGAGGTAGACATTAATATAAAGGACAAGGGAGACTACTCTCTCTTATTTAGATCTTTAAAAACAATAAACTTCCATGAGAACTGAAAGCAGGCACTCAAGTAGACGTATATGCATGTTGGTAGCAATGCTATTCATAAGAGTCAAATGGTGGAAACAGCCCAAGCATCCATCAATCCATTCATTGATGAACAAAAAAATTGTGGTATATCCATACAATGGAATATTATTCAACCATAAAAAGGAAGGAAATACTGATATATGCTACAACTTTGTACCTCAAAAACAGTATGCTAAGTGAAAGAAGCCAGGTACAAAATGTCACATAATATATATTCCATTTACATGAAATGTCCAGAACAGATAAATCCATAGAGACAGAATGAAGACTGGTGGTTCCCAGGGCCTTAAAGGGAAGACAGAATGAGAAGGAACTGCTTAAGGGGTAAGGGATTTTGTTTTGGAATGATAGTAAAGTTCTGCAACAAGACAGAAGTGGTGGTTGAATGTATTAAATGCCACTCTACGTTTTATAAGCTGCTGAATTGTTCACTTTAAAATGGTTGAAAAAAATAAAAACAATGAACTCCAGTCTTAAAACCAGATTCTTACCTCTAGAATCCTCTCCACTATACTTTATACTTACCTTGCACACCATGGATGTCGTCGCTCCAAGTCGAGCAGCTTGGACACACTGGTTGGCACCTTTCCCTCCAAAGCCAATAAAAAACTTATGTCCGTGGATGGTTTCTCCAGTTTTTGGCAAACGAGAAGTAAGACTATTGTAATTTAAAAAGAGAAGAAAAAAGGCATATTGGTAACTGTAATCAATTTAAGTTCTTTAGAAGAGAGGGAAGGCTATATGGTAGAGCTCTAAATAGTCTTAACACTTAGAATTACGAGCAGAAGCAAGGAAGATTGTTTCTTCCTTTAGGATGACATTTAGTAGTTTGCATCACTATCAAGAATGAGTCTCTTTGACAGAATTCCTCTCTGTCTCCTAGAGCCCACTACTGTGGCTAGTGTACTGCATCAGGGTTATTCATGAATACCTTTCCTTCATATTCCCTTTCCTAATGCCAGCGCAGAACTTTATTCACAGTGGGATTTAATAAATGGGATGAAATTAATGTATATTTCTATATGGATTTATCTGGTTACTTTAATAAGAAGCAGGAAGTGTATCAGGATTCTGATAATCAAGTACAGGACCTAAGGAGAGAGGGAAGTTACAATTCCAGGTACTAAAGAATCTTTTTTGTTTACTAAGGGGTAGAGTAAGAGTGGGGTGTTCAGACAGCAGGATCAGGTTTTAGTCTTAGGCCATCCTGCATACCACATCATTTCATGCGCTCACTCAAAAAGAGCATCTATTTTAAAAAAGGAACCCTAAAGAGCTAAGTTATTTTTAAATTTTTATTATGGAAAGTTTCAAACCTATAAAAGTAGAGAAAGTAGCATATTGACTTCCCTTACCCTCATTCACCTACCATCCAGATTTAATAATTTAATAATTATCATCTCATAGCCAATCTTGTTTGAGTCAATACCTTTATCAGTTTCTCCAAGAGGTAAGAATTTTTACCATAATGCTATTATTGCCTAATGATGATAGTATTAAGTGAGGCAAAAATAAAAGGTTTGATCCAGGGTATGATTTTTATATTTCATATTATTAAAGATGGACGGTATGAAGAAATGAAATATTTGAAGGATGGAAGGAAATGATTGACTTTAAAATGAAAGAGGTGTTCTGGGGAGTTCTAGGGCAAGTTAAGAAGATGGGCGCAGGTGGCACAAACATTGGTTAGTTGGCCACAAAGAAGTGGGCCAAGGGCCAGAGGGAGAGATAAAAAGAGGGTAGGTGTGACCATAAAAGGTTAATTAGCTTTAGATAGGAAAGAAAGGTAAAGAAGTAAGTTCACAATAGTAAGGCCACTGAGAACCTATGCTGCTTTTACAGGTTAGAAATCTATATTAATTTCCCACATAGATTGTGATCTACCTGAAGCCAGTATCTTATATTAGAACAAAGCAATGCCAATTCCTATAGGTCCCTAACAGCCAGTTTGCAAGGGGATGACTTATAACTGATGCTAAGAACACACGATTGTTTCAATAAGGACCAAGCTCAACCTGTTAACCTCCCTTATATAGCTCTAAAAGTGTCAATAAATTGAGCTGAACTACTCCATTCCCTTGCAGTACACTGTCAAATATGGTTGAGATTCAAAAGAGCCTCATCAATAATTTGAAAACATCCCACTCCTCCCCTTTAAATTCTATTTTTATCTTGGATTCTAAATGCATTTATAGTACTGATGAAAAAAATATACATCTAGAAGGTTCACTTCTGAAAAAGGTACTCAATCAAGAGAAAAATGGTTTTAATGTAATGTTATTATCCTGTCATTTAATTTAGCAATGACAAGTGATGATGAGATTTTGATTTGCATTAGAAATCTTAAACATTTTAGGATTCTGTTATGAACAGGCAATGATGAGTAATCTGTGTGATTGAGTAACTATGTGAATTCTTGGCTTACTGATGCTGCTACAAACAACACTCACAGCAACCTTAAAAAGAAAAAATATCCCATGTGGCTAAAAACAGGCCAAATAACTTGATTAGTAAGACTGTCACTAAAGAAACTTACAATTTCCAGTATATTTATACTTAGATCTGGGTTACAATTCACTGGTTTGAATCAAGTGTAATTTTTATTATTGACGTGAGAATTCATTTAAAAATCACCAGATGATTACTGGGATGCATATGTATGTGGGGGAAGGGCAAAATCATGGGTACGGTAGGTGTGTTTGATGTGGGAGCAGATGGCTGGGATTTAAACTCATTTCTAAACAACTTCTATTAACACAAGCACTGTATTAATTCAGTGATCACTGAAATTCTTCACTCTTGGTATTTTGCTAATTTCTCCTCTTTTTCTTCTGCATCCTTCCCCTACTCTTGTCTTTCTTCCCTCAACTGTAGACTTTCCCTGCATGAGGACAGGGACCAAGTATGTCATGTTCTCCATTTTATGCATTGTGTCTGTCACTTGACAAGAAGTTAACAGATATTTGCTAATTGAACAGATTTTTGTAAGACTCTCCCTTTGTCTCTCCCTCTCGTCTCTTTTTTTTTTTTTTTTTTTTTTCCAAACGGAGTCTCTCTCTGTCACCAAGGCTGGAGTACAGTGGCACAATCTCGGCTCACTGCAACCTCCACCTCCTCGGTTCAAGTGATTCTCCTGCCTCAGCCTCGTGAGTAGCTGGGATTACAGGGATGCGCCACCAGGCAAGGCTAATTTTTGTATTTTGGGTAGAGAGGGGGTTTCACCATGTTGGCCAGGCTGGTCTCGAACTTCTAGCCTCAAGTGATCTACCTGCCTTACCCTCCCAAAGTGCTGGGGTTACAGGCATGAGCCACAGCACCCAGCCTCCCTCTGTCTCTTTTCTGTGTCTCCCCAATATAGCATCTATTACTGTTCTGAAATGAGGATGTGGAGGTGTAGATTAGGGAAGCAGGGGGAGACTGGCAGGGATGACTGGGCAACTGTCTGACAATGACAACTTCATATTTTACCAGATCTTGCCCATTGCATTCCCAGTATCAGCAGCATTCCTCTTCCATAAGCAAGAACTGTCACTAGAAGTGATACATTCCTTCATTCATGCACTAATTCAACAAATGTTAATCATTGTGTTCTGATGTACCTCCAAGGCAAAATCAACTTGTTGACAATAGCATGAAACCTAACCCTGATGCAAGTAATACACGAGTGAAGAAAATATGTCACGGAATAAGGAGATTAGTACGTTTGATTCTTTTTTTTTTTTTTTTTTTTTTGAGGTGGAGTCTCACTCTGTCTCCCAGGCGCAAGTGCAGTGGTGTTATCTGGGCTCATTGTAACCTCTGCCTCCTGGGTTCAAACGATTTCCCTGCCTCAGCCTCTCGAGTAGCTAAAATTACAGGCACGCGCCACTATGCCCAGCTAATATTTTTTGCATTTTTAGTAGAGATGGGGTTTCACCATATTGGCCAGGCTGGTCTTGAACTCCTGATCCACCTGCTTCAGCCTCCCAAAGAGCTGGGATTACAGGCCTGCCCCATGGCGCCTGGCCTGATTTATTTTTTTTTTTGAGACAGAGTCTGCTCTGCTGCTGAGGCTGGAGTGCAACACAAAAATGGCTCACTGCAGCCTCAACTTCCTTGGCTCAGATGATCCTCCCAACTCAGCCTCCTAGACAGCTGGGATCAACAGGTGCACACCACCACCTCCGGCTAATTTTTTGTATTTTTTTGTAGGATGGGGTTTTGCCATGTTGCCCAGGCTGGTCTCAAACTTTTGGGCTCACGCGATCCTCCTGCCTTGGCCTCCCAAAGTGTAGGGATTGCATGTGTGAGCCACCGTGCCTGGCTGATTTATGTTTTTTAAAAGGAAAATGATGGCCGGGCGCGGTGGCTCACACCTGTACTCCCAGCACTTTGGAAGGCCGAGATGGGCGAATCACGAGGTCAGATGATTAAGACCATCCTGGCTAACACGGTGAAACCCTGTCTCTACTAAAAATACAAAAAAACTAGCCGGGCGAGGTGGCGGGCACCTGTAATCCCAGCTACTTGGGAGGCTGAGGCAGGAGAATGGCGTGAACCCGGGAGGCGGAGCTTGCAGTGAGCTGAGATCTGGCCACTGCACTCCAGCCTGGGTGACTGAGCAAGACTCTGTCTCAAAAAAAAAAAATAATAAAATAAAAAAAATAATAAAAAAAAGGAAAAAGATATATGTATATGTTCTCCCATGATATGTACATGCATAAAAAGTGAAAAGTTAAATGACAGGTATTCACAAAGAAAGGTGGGGACTAAAAGTTCGTGTTTTACTTTATATTCTTATATACATAAATACATATGACAAGAATATTTCAGCGTATTATACGATACCACTTGTCACTACTTCAGATTCATGTGGCCTCTGCCTCATTTACTAGCCACCAGTTCTTCATGGGCACTAGCTGGCTTCTTGCAGGTGTCACCTAACAGAGCCTTACTGAATGCTGCTGTCATCCCACCCCTGGGCTTCTGTCTCTTCAGACTGTCCTGAAGGACTAAGCAGCCAGTGGTCAACTTGCAAATGTCAAATACCTTTGTATACGCTCTTCCTTCTTCCCTGTCCCCTGCTCTTGACTCCTGGGTTATGGTGCTAACCGAGTATGTGCACTTAAGCCTCTGTCTTATGCTCCAGTTTCTGTTAAACCCAGACTAAGACAGTTTACGGCTGATTTAATTTTTTTTAAAGTAAATAAACTGAAGAGTGGAGAGAGCAACTAGAAAGTTAGTTACAAACAGGCAGAAGCATTTCTGAATTATAAATCCTAATTTACTTTGAATTAGACTTTCCTATCTTTCTTCCTTATTGAAATCATGAAATTATGCTCAGGTTCAAGAAAGCATCTGCACAAAGCACTGTCTCCTGGGATGAAAGCATTACTATGATTTGTTCTAATTTTAAAAAAAGAGGTTTAACAGAGTGTCAAAGACAGAAAAATTAAATTGCTCAAATTAAAAAGAAAAGGAAACAGTATTACTAGAAATACGTTGTTACTACCATTTAAAGGTAAAAACAGTGTAAATTTCTGAATGAGGGAGAAAACCTGAACAGAGAAAACCATGCCTAAGAAATATATTTGAATTTAAAACAAATGCATAGCTTTTAAAATGCCACAATTGTCTTTAGGTTGGATTGAAAGGAACAGTGATAAATGTTCATACATG